AGAACAAAACTTGTGGTTTAAATTTAGATTTAAATCTAAACTGATAGAGCAGTAGCCTTTTAAAGTTTGCCTATTTATTATGAAATTGTAAAAAAAATAAACATATATGTTTTCTCTTTTCAACCAATCAGATTGCCTTATACAGACCACGTGTTATTTTAAATTTTATAAAATTTACTAGTTTCAGAACTAACCAGACAAAAAAATTATTTATTTTTAGCATACATGCTTGTATTTTAGGTTAAATGACTGTCTACTTCCAGTTTATTCCATTAAGATTACTATGAACAAAAAAGTGAACAAAATCACATGATTGGAGAATTAAAGCTTCCCACACCATAGATGATTCACCAGTCATCTAGAGAGCTATATGATGCAGTTTACACAAGATTTATATATAAATTATATATTATATATAAAATCTTTAAATAGTAAATATAGAGATTTTTTAAAGAAATATAAAGAAAACTTTTTTTTTTTATTAAGTAAATTACTCTTGGGCTTCTAATAAAAGTTGTAGAGCTCATCAAGACACATCTAATGGCAGTATTGGCAAAATGACAAATATGACTTTTTTATGACAAATAAATGACACATAAATTTTATAAAAACATAATACAATCATATTAATAATATTTTTTTTATAACAAAAATGATACATTTTTATGACATTCAACTCAATAATTTTGTCAAATTGCTATCTATGTCTAATAGTGGTGAGAACACTAAAATCAGCCTGGTAGTTCTTGAGAAATCTTTAAAAAACATTTCATCAACATATAAAATTTCTTTAAAAAAATCGATTTTTTTAAGGGTAGAGTATATATCGATCATTTATCATATGATCTCAGTGGTACAACAGGATTTTATGCATAAATTAAAATACATTGCAAGTAAAAATTCTCAAAACCATGGCTAAATTTTACCAAAATTTTGTAATATACAAATCAAACCTTCTATTTATAGTAGTAAAACTTTCAGGGGCTATATTATTTTTAAAAAATGAACATATATATGTTGTAAAGTTCCTAGAAATTTCTCACATTTCTCAGAGTTACACAAAAATAAATATAGTAAAAATATTTCTAAAACAGGTAATTACTCAATTAGATTTGTGCTTACTATGTAATCTGTTATACAAAAAAAATTGCCATGTATATCATATAATAAATAATCTACGTATACTCTACGATTAAAGAAATTTTATATGTTGGCAAAATCTTTTTTAAAGATTTCTCAAGAACTACTAGACCGATTTTAGCATTCTTACTACTATTAAATGCATCTTGATGAGCTCTACAACTTTTGTTAGAAGCTCAAGAGTAATCTACTTAGTAAAAAGAAAGTTTTAGAAGAAATCTTTCCACATTTAGCTTAATAGTAAAATTTATTTATAAAATTTGCAGATCCTCTCCAGATGATAAATGAATTGTCTATTAAACAATTATTTTAACCAATTATATAATCATTTTAGATAAATTAGATTTTTGATTTAAAAAACATAGTAAAAAATTGTTTAATTTTAGTTAGTAAAAGATTTTTTTTAAACTACTAACAATTAAGAAATAAGATTTTTAGCAAAATATTATAATGGTTTTGGGTCCTATAGCTTATTGGTTAAGCTCCCAAACCCCTACAGACAAGGTTAACGGTTCGAGTTGGGCTGGAGGCAAATAAAAATTTGTTTCTGTAATCTATGGGGACTATTATCAGATACGAAGCCCTGTGAAAAGTTCAAGTGCAGTATAAACCAGAATAAGGAATTTTTAGAAGAAGACCAGGTTGTAGAGTGAAGATATTATGTGTGATAGTAGTATTACAGAAGGTCTAGACAGTAGAAGATCGTATGTGTAAGTTCTCTGGTTGGGGTAACTCAGAGGCAATACCAACATCCTATCACCTTCATATTTGGCAATATCAATATCTCTACACCCAACTTGTGGGTACTTGCTTGGAAGGATAATCAATAAATCGTACGCATAAGTCCTAATATAGAATAGCATTGGGTACTTGCTTGAAAGGGTGATACTATATTACCAAAACTGGAGTAGTGAGAGAAGCGGTAATACACAACTATGGGCTGTAGTAAAAGATCATACCTTAACTGAAATTGAAAGCATCTTTGGCACTAGTGGAATGACTATAGAAAGCTACTCAGCGTAGAGAATATAATCTACCTCTATACATCTAAAGGTACCAATTTGGAGCTCTGGTCATATCTATATGGAAGTTTATGATGAAAAAGAGTTAGGATTTACCAACATTAATGCAATACCAACTAGAAATATCTAGCTGAAAGTGATTTAGCTTGCTACTTAAGTAATTTCGTGGTGTTAGGCTAGTCTTTAACAAAATAGATCATTAAAGCAGAATTACGAAAATAGCTAATGGCTAGGAGTATGTAGTCTTGTAGTTGCTGTACAACTCAAAAAATTCTTACAAACTATGATCCTGACAAATATCATATAAGAGAGTACTTAGAGGGTAGTAAGAAGTATACTGTATCAGATAACTTAGGAAACACTAAGACCTGAGGACAGCAAACCAGACGGTGGCAGCAGAGATCTGGCTTGAGATACGAGGCTAGTATATCTGAGAATACAAGTGAGAGGTTTGAAGCATTCATGTAACATAAGTTGCATGAAGAAATGCAAGCCGGCAAAAACTAAGTAGTACAAACCCATGATATGTCCCCTTTCCAACATGTGATACCAATGCTTTTTATGTGGGACTAGTGATGGTAGCAGATATCTGGCTTGAGAAACATGGACAAGAGGCCACCTATTAGAAGGAGTATACCAGTCTAAGAAATACTTCAAATAACAGACACACCAAATTAGAAGGCTATTAAGGACCGATTACCCAAATAAACCAATTTGGGAATTACTAAGGTTTGATGATGAAATATGAGGTGAATGCGGTGGGTAACTAGATATAGTTTGAACACAAAATCCAGGTATAACCCAATACATAGTGAAAACATAGCATACTCTAGTAGGTTTAGGTCATAGATAAAATTGTCTAAGCTAGTATTCTTAAAATTATATGTAGCCATATAAGACAAATACTTGACACATCTAATAAAGATATAAGGTAAGACCTCACCTTAACACTGAAAAAAAAAAAAAGCAAAAGATTATAAAATAATAAAAAATATATACAGTATTTAAAATTTTAAAAAAAGGTTTATATGTATTTTTTAAATAAATTAAATTTTAATCTAAAATTTGGTATGTTATCTTATTTAACTCATAATAGCAACTATTGTGACTAATATGTTAGAATTTTTTCTTTAATAAAATTTTGGTTTGTTGAAATTTTGCTTCCAATAATATTACAGTTTTAAATTTAAAAGTTATCGAGATTTAATCGTAAAAACTTCTAACAGTATTTAATTTCGTCACAAATATATTTTATACGTAGAAGCTTCTTATTAATGACGATAAAATTTTTACAATATCACGGGATGATCTAAAAAAATTGGCCAATCACAAAGCCCTCCTCTAAGTCCGGAATGTGTGACAGGTTAGTGCCAGCTACCAATCAGATTTCAAGATCAGACGATCAAAACAAGCGTTCGTTTGCAAAAAATCGGTTATTTCTCATAAGAAACAGTCTTTTGTGCTTTAATAAAAAAGTTTTCTTGAACGATTTTACTAAATATCTTGCTAATATCTAACCTTAATACAAACGCTAACCTAAACATCAACGAATTTTAAAGAATTTTGCGCATTTCAGATGTGTGATCGACAACATGCATAACCTGTCACACATTCCGGTCTTGCTACCTGTAGGTATTTTGAAAATGAAACCACAGCTGCCATTAAGTGAGGCTTATTTCTCTAAAATTTCCATTTTCGGAAGAACTCATCGGCATTTGAAATTCATACGGCAGTTGGGATTCATACGGCTTTTGCCGCAACCGTAACTTGCTACATGTCGTACGGTTCACTGAGAAAAATCTGCCTGCACCTCTAGTCAGGACAGCCTAGGCTTACAAGAAAGCAGTGGTAGAAAAAAATAAAACTTTTACTCTCACGATATTAATTATTCATGAATTTTATTTATAGCTTGTTATAAATACACCGTAAATAGAAATAATATATTGTGCTAAAGGACGAGTAATACAAAATGATCCTGAATCCCATCATTTAGTATCCCAAGGACTCCTCAATCAATACAACATGAACACGCTTAGGATTAAAAGGATTAGCATTTTTGATAACGGAATAATTTACAACAGTACTAGCAGGGAGTTTATATGCTAATCTAACACGTGCTGATTCTAATTCAAGTGAATATTTATATACACGTTCATTAGCTTCTTCTTCGTTTTTAACAATTTTATTTGTACCAGAGACGATTATGAGTTTTCCGGCTGTTGAAGCCCAAGGTCCGATACGAGTTCCTGACAAATCACATCCGACCTATTATAAAATTGATTGTATGGTATTGGTTATGTTGCATTCTTGAAGAAATGTTCTTCGGATTATTCTATCAAAAGATATAGTACTTACAATTACACCATCTTCAGTAATAGCACTAGCGGAAGACAAATAATAATCGACTGTGCTGCCTTTAGTTCGCCTTATTTCCATCTGTTTTCCCATATCTGTCTCCGCTAAAACCTGTGCGTGAATATTTTCCCATTCTGTAGCTGTCTTCAAATACTCGATAAATCCAATTTCTTCCAATGTAGTGGAATGACCATTATTGATTGAGGATCCTTCAGGAATTAATTTCTTTAGAAATTCATATGCTTCCTCTTTAGTTTTAAGAATCGTAATTTCATGACCTTTGGCTTCTAGACTTGCTTTGGTGGCCTGAACCGATGCTTCAGACGCAACGGCTGCGTATTTATCGTCGATAACCACTTCCTTTGTCGAGAGTTTAGGGTCGTTCTTTAAGAGAGCTTCACGAGTTTCCTCAGGGTGATTATTCACGATGGCCATTTTGAACTTGAATTTTTATTATCTTATGGAATTGGTTAAGATTAATTTATGGAGATTGTCGAGAATTTATATTTTCTGAAAAACAAAAGATCGATTAAAAATCTTTCAATGTGTTAATGTTAAGCTGACAAATCAATAAACTGCGAACGCTATTGATTACTAAAATTTTGGAATTATAATGATAAATATAGTTAAATTAAACGTTCTCTAAAGTTCAAATTGGATTGTGTTACGTAGATTAACAATGGCCATGGCAGATTCCGATTTTGATTGGCTAACGGCGACCGAGGTAAAATCGCCACCCAAAAAAGGGGGTCGTTTAAAGCGGAGCAGAATCACGTGACACATGGCCAATCAAATTATAGAATTTTGATGATCGCCGGGCGAAGCAAAACAAGAAATAAAAACGAAAACCTGAAAAATACAAAAAACGGCAGTCTAAACCTACCTCGGGTAGGTTAATTAAAAATGTCTGGAAGGCAATTTTGCTTATATATAACTACCTAAAATCTAACCTAACCCCAATATAAGATGACCTAACCCTAAAGTTAATTCAATAAAATATATATTATAAGAATCTGCTCCGCTTTAGACGTCCCCCAAAAAAGTTTCGAAAATCATGTGATATTGTCAATTCATCCATGGCAAGCTAGTATAAAGTAATACAGTACCGGACAGCAAAAAATATCCACTTTTTATATATAAAATATAAAAATGGTATTAGGCGGCATCCACAATTTACGTTAAACTATTAATGTATTGTATATTGTATTGTATAAAAATAGGGAATGCCATATAGTATTATGTTTGTATTATCTTTAAGATCCCTATGACAATACTGGTTTAACGTAAATTGTGAATGCCGCCTTAACTCAAAAGCTAATAACTTTAAAAAAAAAAATTGGTTTACAAATCTATTGTTTTTAATCTAAGCTACAATTTGGTTAAAATAGATTTTTATTTTAATAATAAATTTAAAAAGTTATTAGAACTTAAAGTTTAAATTTAATCAAAAATTTGGAATTTGATAAATCAAAAAAATATTTAGAAATTTACTATCTTTGCTTATAGGGTATAATACCCAGTATAATATTTATATAAAGCCATATAAATATATATTAAGTTTAGGGTTAGATTTAGAAATATATATAGTTATATAATTAGATGCTGAACAATTTTACTTAAGATATCTATATATAATTACCTTACTATAAATTCTCAAAATAACAGGCAAAAGTGTTAATTTAAAAATTGCATCTCTAAAAATAGCATAAGTAGTTTCAAAATAACATCTATACATGTCTCAAAATAATATACATCTAATGATAAAGGTAATAAAATTTAAAAATACTTTGAAACTAGGTTTGGTACTATGTAAATCTACTTTTGAGCTCTATAGCTAATTTGAAATTAATAGGATATATGATAAATTTTATAATAATTATTCAAATTTTGATAATTATTTTTTGGTAATAGTAGTATTGTTTTTTGATATTTTTAGCTGATATATTATCATAGTATATTTTATATCAGTCAAAAATTATATTATTGAAAACTATATTTTTATTTTTTTTATTTTTTTTTCTACTTTGGCTGTCTAGCCATTGGACCTTTATTATGTTCAGTTGTTGATAGACAAAAGGCAATTACTTGTATAATATTAAGGCATAACAATCTGCAATTACTTCTAAGAGCACTTACAAGTAACTAGCCGTACTGAGCAAATATATCTATTTGAATTTATCACAATAGGTTTCAAAAAAAAACAACCATCTCTCTCAAAAAGCACTATCAGACTACCACTTTACAATAAGATATTGCCAATTTGATGATATCTTTTTGTAGAGAAGTGGAAAGAAAAAAAAGTTACTAATACTAATACTAAACTAAAAGAGAAATACTAAAAAAAAAATAAAAACTAATACTAAAAAACAAATACAAAGACGAAAAGTGAGGATAAAAAAAAAAGGAATCTGATAGATTATAGTTATAGGCCTGTGTTGGGCTTTAAAAATTATATATTAATAGTTAAAGAAGCTCTGTATCTAACTTTATCCTAATAATATATATATATGTATAAAATACATAAAATCACGTCAGCTAAACAAAACAGAGTAACTCAAATAAGAAAATCTCAAAATATTGTTTAATAGTTTTTTTAGTTCGAGGTACATATATCATTATATTGTCCTATGGTCTATATGGTTGCTTATTCTGAACATCTGCCTGTTATTCTGTTTTTGGTAATTCTATTTACAGACTCATGTAAACAAGTAAACAATACCAACTGTTTTGGTGAATTACATATCAATCTTTAGAAGGAAATAAGCTGAGATGTTCACTTTTTGACAAAATTTCTTTGAAAAAAAGTGGTGGGTCAATAAAACTTTTCTGTGATTGTTCTTTGTAAGTTTTACAGTTGTATAGAGATATCCAAAGCTTATAATACTCTTGGTATCATTCTAGATACTCTGTGTTTTGAAATATCTATCTGGTTTGGATGCCAAATAAAAGTAAAGGAGTTCACTAGCAAGAAGCTTGACCTCTACTAAAACCAGTCCAAAGTAGACCGCATCTTGATTTTATACTCTTGATATTTCGTTGACAACACATCTATTTCTGTAAAACCAAGTTTATTATTTATTTTAGTATCTTCTATAATACTGATCATAGTTTGGTTTCTTGATTTTTGTTGACCAGATAATTGTCAGGAAGAGTTGCTTTGTATATTTTTGAATTATGAAAACTATGTTTTTATTATTTAAAAATAATTACCAAAATTTGCTGACAATTATTATAAAATTTATTACATGTTCTACTAATTTTAAATCAGCTATAACAATTGTTCTTCAGATCAAGATGGCTCTAATAGCAGTAAGTTTATCAAAAATAACTTAGTATATCATTTACAATAGCTTCTTAAAGTTTTAAACAAAGATAAACAAATATTGTAAAACTTTAAATAGCTATTGCAGATAATATATTGATCTATTTTGATCTAAACAAAAACTTTAATTAAAGCTTAAAAATAGATTTACTTAGCACTAAAACAAAAAAAAATAATAATAAAAAAATTCTTTACAAAATTTTTTATAAAATTTACTTTTTATATTCTAACCCTAATTCTAACTAAGCATTCAAATTTATTTTTGTTATTTTTATTTGATTTTAAATAAAAAATAATAATTTGTATAGATATGCAATATATAAGTATATTACAAAATATAACATATATATTTATTCTTTTTTAAAAATTAAAAAAGTTTTTAATAAGATAATCTTTTTAGGCTTCTAAATAAAGTTATAAAAATATTTTTTTGTTCTAATAATAGTTAAATTATCAAAATTGACTTGCTAAATCTTAAAAAATTTAGGTTTAAAGATATAAACATAAAAAATTTAGAATTAGAGTTATTAATAAAAAATATATATATAGGTTTTATAATTTAAAAAATTACTAATTTTAATTTAATTTAATTTTAATTAATTTGCAACAATAATTAAAATAAATTTTTAAATAATTTTATCTAAAAAAGCTTATAAATTATTAAAAAATAAATAAAAAAATTAAATTTTTAAATAATTTCAAAAAATTAAATTTTATCCTAGTGCAATGTCTAGGTTTATAGCTAGTATTAAATATTTTTAAATATTTAAATATAATTATAGTTAAAAGTAGTCAGAGATTAGAGTAAAATATAGCATATAGTAAAATTTTACAAAGAATTTTTTTATTAGAAATAAAAGGATAGTTTTATTAGTAAAATTTTGAGTTATTATTATTTTCTTTAAAATTTTATATTTATTTAATATTTATATTATACTGTAGCTATTTAATTTAATTGATAAAGATCATTGTAGTGTTAAATACTAGTAGTATATTTTATATCAGTCAAAAATTATATTATTGAAAACTATATTTTTATTTTTTTTATTTTTTTTTCTACTTTG